CGGGGGGGGGGGGGGGCTACTAGTAGACTAGGAGGGGGCTGTAATTTCAGATTTCTGAGGTGAACTGCAGTCTACTTATCCCAAAAAAAGGAAATAAAAATTGTGTGCAACCTTGTCTCAAAGGGAATCTAATCATTTGGATATCATAATATGACATTTGCAGAGAAGAGAGGCATGACAGAGGAGCAAGTAGATAGGGAAGATCAGCTAGAAAGTTCCCATGCTTCATCAATTCATTCCAAGGAGGACAATCGCAAAGAATCTGAACTTAATAAAACTGTGGTTGATGATCGTTCCAGTGGGACTCAGCCTGATAAAATGGGCACAGATGATTCTGGGTCAGATGGTGCTGACATGCAGAAAGGAAGGCCAATGTCCCCAGGAACGCTTGCATTGATGTGTGATGAACAAGATTCGATGTTCATGGCAGCTCCTTCCCTTAATGGGGCTATGGCCCATGGGCACAACATACCTCCACAATCTTCTTTTGGGCAGGGCATGACTGAGGTTTATGCAGAGCAGGAAAGGCTTATACTGACAGGTTTTCGGGATTATCTTCGAAGGCTCACTGCTTGTGCAAGTATCAAGGGTAAGCTTCTCTAGTTGATCATGTGTTCTTGTTTCTAAACTTTGGACATTGCCAGTATTAGTTATATTGTGAAAATGAAAAGCCAAACATTGATTTCCTACACTGACAAGCGTAAAAGAAAGATTTCCTACACTGATGAATGTCCCTTGAAACAGGCGAAGGATCCTTCAGATGAATATGATGGGCCCAAACTTCCCAAATAATTTAGAAATAATATCTTGTCATTTATTGCTTTTTGTTCCCATGTTCTATTTTTGGGGGGGCTGGTGGGGGGGGGGATAGGTTGAGCAAAAAGGCTTCCACATGAAAATTGCACAAATGTTTTAGGGCCTGCATTGTATCCATTCTGACCTTAAATGCCATAACAAATAGTGAATTATGGAATTGGGGTGATTCTGAAACTGGGTCTCTGCAGTGAAATAGTGTTTCATATCCTCCTGGCATTTGTTCTTCATTCACACAGAAAGTGGGGATGGTCTTATAATGCTCTTGTTTTCAGCATGTCACCTGAAAAACAGCTTTTTTGTAATTCTGTTTCACATTGCAGAAACAAACTGTTCTTCATTGGCCAGAACAACTGAAGCTGGGAGTCAACAAGAACCTGCTACGAATGGAACTGTAAAAGCTCCTGTTTCAGCCAATGCTGAGACATCCCAACTAATGAGTGCGATTACTACTGCAAAAGCTCCTATTCCATCCAGTGCCGAGACATCCCAGACAGTAGGTCCTGTCAACTGCAATCCTAATAACGGTGTGTCAACCCCTCAAACAATAATTGCAGTCAGTACTTCCAATAACAAGGTGCAGGCAAAGGATAGACAATCCTCTGAGAATGGTAACATAAAACCAAAGATTGAAACAGAGGATGTGTAAAAAAATGGTAGAGAGAGAGGGAGGGGAGTGGCCGGAAGCATATTACCACATCTCTGTAATACTTGGGGAAGGTTCAATTCAGCTACTCCTGATGTAGTTAAAAGCAAATGTTGAGCCTCATTGTTACTTTGTTGGTACACCGTGATCGAAGAAGAATCGATCACGATGAGGTCCATTTTTTCCTTCCTCATTAATATATTTATTTTTATATAGTTCTCTTTGCCTCATCTGCATAATGTTCCTCTGAGTATATATTGTAGTTTGTTCTATTATATCTCTAGGTGAATCTTATCTTTTTTTTTTTTTTTTTTAAATTTTTTTTCTCCAAATGCGATGCTTTTTAAATGGATGATCATGGGCGACATGGTTTCACTCATAAATGCTTGTTCTTGACTGAAGCTCATTTCCAAGGTGGAGAATGCATTTTATTTTTAGGGCCATCCATTTGACGGGGGCATATAGATTTAACTCTCATTTTTGTAGTCATTGTTTGATGTAATACTAAAATTTTAACTGACAATTATCAGAATGTAGGTTCGAGATTTTGAGTCTGAAAGCATCCATTTCGTGCAAAAAAAAAAAAAGAAAAAAGGTTAGATCTGTATATCCAATTCTCCCTTCCCACGGCCCTATATAGGTGGGAGCTTGAGTCTAACGTTGGATAATGGCCGTTTTTTCACAAATTTGTTGTATTTGACAGAGTATATCCATCTGCTTTATGGGTCTACATCTTGTATCACGGGTCGGGTTGGGTTTTACATGTTTTTGCCAGTCGAACTGATCAGCTTGGGTTGACTTATAAGCCAAACCGATCCAAGTTAATAAAAAACTGAGTAAAATTTAAATGTGCGTAAGGTTGGTTTAATCGGTTTGAAACCAAATCATCATTCTTGTCTTTTTAAACCCAAGTTAAAAAGTTTATTTTTCAATTTTCGCATGCAACAATTCTGCAATTGTTTGCCTTTGTTAGCTTTTTTTATTTGTAAGTTATTGTTTAACATCTTTTCTGGCACCGGCAATAAATATATTGTCAACCCATTCTTGTAATTTCACTTATTTTATTTAGAATATAAATAAATGACACTTATTTTATTAAGAATATAAATGAGTGATAGGTTGGTGTAACCTTGTGTCAGCTTTTTACTTTTTTAACATCTCCATACTTTTTATGGGAGATGTGAAAAGTATGGAGAAGAGAGAAGGGCTAACAACTATAATTGTACTTGACAGTCGGTTTGGTTCAGTTTTTATCGGTTTATACACCATCAAACTGAAACTGACCTGACTTCTCGGGTTTTTATAATTGAGGAACTGAAATCGATCGACACTATTTGAAAATTGGCCAATTGGTCGGGTTGGTTGGTTTAATCAGTTTCATGAACAGCCCTAATAGACAGATCATGTATCCTTTTAAGGCAAAAACTATGATGTAGTGTGCATTGCAGTTAAAAGATGTGAATTGGTTGAAGTTGATGAAAAGTATAATTTGCCAAATGTGAAAATACATTATAAAATTTGAATAATAAAAAATAAATAGACTTTAAATTGGTTGGTTGAGATCTGGATTTAATGTCCAATATTAGTATTTGGTAAAAGCTAGCGTTTCGGTTATTGTAGTGATTACTACTGCACTCTAAAGAGGTGTATGCAGTATGCACCAAGAGTTGAGTGGTAAATAAATTGGAATTCTGTTCATTTAATAATTATTGGATTTACCATAATCAAGGTTTCAAAGTACCATTATCAGAAAGTTTCAGAAAATCAGTTCCGGTAGATGCATCAATATTTGGTTGAGAAATTCTAAGATATGGTGGATTGACAAATAAATTTGAACACTGTTCATTCGATTTGAGTGCTCTTCCGATGGAATAATTTTAGGTATGAAACATTGAATTGCATAAGTATAGGTTTAAGGCCGATGGTGACTTAGGTAGGGCTCATCAAATTGAATAATTATAGGTTTGAAACTTTCAATTGAATAAGCATTGGTTTGAAACGGATGATGACTAAGGTAGGGCATATCCCATTTCAAGTTTTTGAGTCCCCGCCCTATCACTAGCCAACAAAAGTTGTTTCAAAAAGACAAAATCACTCAAATATATTAAATTATTGTTAGATTTATGGGGCCCCTTTCGTTTTTACACAGGAATGTGCCCCATCACTAATTTTCCTTACTTTTTAAATTACGCCCATGAAATCCTAAATCCAGCACGAACTCCATTTTGCTTAATATTTTATGAGTTTATCTTCATCATTATTATAGTTTTGTCCATCTGTATGGGGTCTGCTACATGAATTGTGTAGGCACTACGTTCCGTTCAGTTCAATCTCACTATCATTAAATCATGTCACTTAATAATTCCTTATAACTCAAGTTATTTTCCATATTCAATCCTGTTATAAATGGATCAATTCCAGTTAACTCTTAACCAAGGTTTTAAAAACATACAGGGAACTGGAACCACTAGTTTCTGGGTTGACTGTTTGACTATTCGGTTTGAATGAATAGTCTGTTCTAACTTAAAAAATAATAGTGATATATCACTTAATAATTAATAATAATAAAAAAATTAAAAATATAAAATAATAAAGATATCACTAATTAACTAAATAATAATTGTTAATAAGGTGGATTTTCTCACTATTTTTTTTTTTACAACCAAACATTGAAACATGAAAAAATTCCACCCATTTTCCCTTTCTCATCCTATCCCATCCCACCAAAATCTCTCAGTTCAACCTTTCGTGAGGCAAAAAAAAGAAAAAGAAAAAAAGGAAATACAATCATTCTTTTTTTAATTATTGTTCATTCTGGTGCTTGTTTTGCTCAAGTACGTAAATAAACTATTAAGAGGGAAATTGGTTGAGGTAAATGTAGTGTTACGGAATTTTTTTAGTACTTGAGTCACTAGTGGCTCACTCCACTGATTTTGTAATATTCTTACTACTGTCTACTGTGGTGAGTATTACAACACAGATGTATGTGATCATATTCCACTACTTTGACTTAGTTGGGCATATCCTACTCGATTACTTGTGCATAAGCTTAAAAGAATGTACAATTCAGTTATTCTTTAAATGTTCTAATAAAAACTGTTTTGCTCTTTGAGTTTCGAGTAGTATTCAACAAACCTTCAGATCGGATTTTGGAAATCACTATGAGGTTGGACTAATGAAGTGCATATATAAATAGTTTAAATCAGCTGACCCCATATGGTTGGGGGCAAGGCCTATGTTAACAATGTAAATATTTTATACGATAAATTACATATAGGTATCCTATATTTTGGGGGTAGTGTGTCACTTAAAAGGCCTGAACTTTTAAATGAGACATTTTTGTATCTTATAACTTTCAGAAATATACACTTAAGTCCGACATAGTAATGAGGACAAAATTACAAAAATGCTCGTGTTTAGATTCTCTTTTGCTCGTTGAACTTTTATTTTCATATGAAACCATCTCTATGCTTCTTTCTAACAAAGAATAAACACATTTGAATGGAACAACGAAAAATAGTGAAAAAAAGAATATCTGAATATGGACATCTTTGTAATTTTATCGTCGTTGTAACGTTATTTTTAATAGAGTTGGACTCAAATTTATATTCCTAAAAGTTCAGGGTACCAAAATCCAAAATGTCGCACGTAAAAGTTTGCAGCAATATGAAAGCTTCATATGATATTATGAATTTATGATGCAGGAATACATTCAGCATTCAATTCTTCGCTGCTGCTGCTGCTGCTGATGGTTGGTGTGGAGTGGTTGTCCATATAATTGGTGTTCGGGGTGTATTACATGAACGCCATCAGATTCTGTTATGCAGTTTAAGGAAAGAGATATACATCTCTTTAGTTTTGAGATCACATCTCCGCCCTACAGTACATCTCTATCGTGTATTCTGAACCATCTCCCGATGATAATATCAAATTTGATGATGTCATCATCAAGAAATGTTTTTAATACACAGCGGGGATGTACTGTAGGGCGTTGTGGGGCATGGTTTTCGAAATCGGATTAGATCGGATGGTCAAACCAAAAAAACTGGAAACCGGTCATCTGATCGGTTTCATTTTTCCCCAAAACTGATTTTTTCCTAAAATCATTGATTTTGGTCAACAAACCGCTGAACCGTCCGATTAATCATTCGAATAGTTTTAACTGTTTTTCAATTTTTTTAACTTTTAAAATTTTTTTATTTTTTTATCAGAACAGTCGGACCATTCACCCGATAACCAGACCCCTGGCCGATTCGGTCACCGGGTCGATTTTGAAAACCAATGGGGCGGAGATATGAACTCCTTTAGATTTTAGACTTTTAGTAGCTAAGCTCGTTATTTATGTAAAGTAGATAAAGTAAGCCATTATTGTGACAAATGGCAGATAGTCAGATATAGGGGTCACTGGGAAGGCATCATTTAATAAATACCGTAGGTCGGTCACTAATTTCTTAGTGCATATTTGATGCAAATAGTCAGATATAGGGGTCATTGCTTGTTATAAGGCAAACATGAAAACATGGGTCTGAGCCAGAGAGAGAGAGAGGAGATTTGAACAAAATGGATGGATCTTAGTTCTTTGTTTTCTGTTTTTTTTTGTTCTGTAGTTGGCTGTTGTTGGTGTAGTTACTGTAGTTGCTCTCTGTCTCTGTAGTTGATTTCTATTCTGTTTTTCTGTAATGTTTTGTATCTCTGATTCAGCCTTGGGCTGTTTTTTAATGAAATACCTTTTTATCAAAAAAGAGAAAAATCAGAGAGAGGGGCCCGCTTGGGCTGTTTTTACCTTTAACAACAAGATTTCTTCTTATTCCTTCTAATCTCTTGTTCATCCTTTGATGGACAGAAAGCTCTATACTTGCTTCTGCATCTCTATTCTTGATCTGGATCATCCAAAGCCCCTCCTCCTTCCCCGTGACCCATCACCAGATCTGAAATTTGTAGAACCCCTACCTTACATCAATACTGCATGTGATTGCCATATTACAACGGACGCATATTAATTGTACACTAATTTGCATTGTGGTGCCTTTTCCTTTTCTTTATGAAGGAATTTATCAACTCAATCTCTGGTTGTAGAAGCACGTTTGGCAAAAATTGAAACTAACAACTGAAGGAAAAGGTCAATGCCATAGTTTGGTTTACCCAACCCATGTCCAGTATGCCCTTCATTTATTTCATTACTTCTAGATATTTGTTTTCTATCATTGGTTGAATCTTATTTTATTAATTTTGACACCCTTGCACAGTTCCAGGTATTGTCAGTTTGTCACTAAAAGAAAGTAAAGGCTCAGTTTGAAAGGAGTACAAATCTGAGTCCGGATCTCTTACACATTCGTCACTACAGTTCTTTCTGTACATTAAATCAGAGGGTGCCATGTCACACCCTCTCATGAGTGAATTTCGCATGTGAGAGTGGAATTAATGGACGTTTCAAACGTCCTCCACTCCTAGCTCGTTTCTAATATTTTGAAGTTTATACTAAATTTTAAAACTAATAAAACAGAGGGGTTAAGGGTTTTTCTTCCTCTTCGTCAAATAAAAAAAAGGGTTTGCTCTCCAAGGAGCTGAATATTAGTAAGCAGAAAAATAGCAAATAAGATTTCCAACTTCTGGAATTCCTTGACCAACTGCAGACCACTAGTTCCTTGATCTATCATACAGCAATTTCTTTGGTCCAATTCTGGCTTCCATAGCAAATCTGCCCAAACTAGAACTTCTGGGCCTAGGAGGTAATAAATTGACAAGAAGCATTCCTGACTCGCTTTAGATATCACAAAATCACTTTCTTCATTTCGGCTTTTCACAAAAGTAGCTTTATGGTAAGATTCCCAAATCGCTAAGCCATTTCAATGCAGAAGCAATCTATAACAGAACATTGTTGCGACTCGACTTGTCATGGAATGAGTTCGACTTTAATCTTTCCAGGGTAAAGCTTCCCAAGAGCCTAGAATATTATTATCCTATAACAGGATCAGAGGGAGTATCCCAAGGAGGTCATGGGGTTGAATTTGTATTGGCTAAACGTGAACTATAATTGGCCATACAAAGAGATTCCATTCAGCAGGAAGGTGCAGGAGTTCAGTGCCGACTCTTTCTTCCATCACCACTGTCTGTATGGTCAGCCACTCCCCAAGTGCTAGTACCTTAGTCGGCTCACCATGGATGACAAACGTAATGGACTCTGTTCATTGAGAGCAAACCCTTTTTTTATTTGACAAAAAGGAAGAAGAAACCCTAACCTTTGTTTTTTATTTGCTTTAAAATTTAATATATTAAAAATGGGATAGGGGTGGAGGACATTTGAAACATATGTTAATCCCACTCTCACATGTGAGATTCACGCATGAGAAGGTGCTGACATGGCATCCTCTGATTTGATGTACAAGAGATCGGACTCACAAAATCTTGTACTTTGTATTATTTTACATGTTTTTATATTTGTATTTGTATTCTTTTCAAACTGAACCTACAGTGCAAACATATACAAAATATTAGGTTTTGTACTCCTTCCAAACTGAGCCTAAAGAGCCTTCTTTTGTTATAAAAACGTTGCCACCTCTATAAAAAAACGCTATAATATTTTTCTTTTTATCAAACATTCAAACCAAGGTTCTAAATATTGATATGCATTTTTTTTTTACTTTTTTTTAATCCGGTTCAGGGGGCCGGTTTTAGATTCCTCAACCCCCTGAACCGGTCAAAACCCTGATACATCCTCTATAAGGGCGTATTGGGGTGCTCCCGATATAATACATATCAGCCAATACGTCAATTTTTTGAACCTTGATTCAAACTACTTGAGCGACGTAGTATACAATTTCACAAGTTAATTGGTTTAGCAAATCTAATTGGAAGCAATAATCTGTCTTCACCATGATAAATGCCTAAGTTATTGGTTAATGACCAATTGGTTCTTTGTATAGTTTGTTAAATACCCTTAGGTTTGTGTGGATCCCTCAAATCCAGACAAAGGATTTGGTCTCTACTCTCCAAAAGAGTATCTTTTGTGTGCTTCTTTCTTTAAGCCCCTTTGTTAGTCTCTTTTTCAGCGTTTTCCTGTTAAAGAAATTTGCTAGACTTGTTTCTTCTAAAACCAGTGCTCTCTGCTACGAAGTGTTTTATGTGAAAAATAAACACTTTCGATAACATACAAAGAAAAGGCTTTTCCTGTTCATCTCACCCAATTAGTGTATTCTCTACAAGTCTAAGGGTGAAAACTGCCAAGGTTAACATACATGCTATAAAACAATCGATTGGTTAAAAATCATAGTTTTCAAAACCGGACCGGACCGGACCGGTAAAACCGGTATCTGTTCAACCCTCCGGGTCCAATTATACTGTAAACCGCTAAATCCTAAAAACCGTTGAAAATGTCAAAAAACCGCTGACCCAAATGGTCAAACCGTTAAATCGTTCGACCCAGACAGTGGTTCGCGGGTTACGAATTTCATTTTCATTGATTTAAAAAAATAATAAAAACAAAAAAAAAACACTTACGAATTAGGCCTTTAGGGTTAGACCCTCCTCTCAGTCTCATACCCCGACTCACGACTGATGGCGACCGGCGATGGCGGTGAACTTCACCTACGGCGGTTTGCATTTTATAACTAGCAACAACCTCTATTTATCAAGGACTTGCAGCGGCCAACCGCTGGTGACTACGATGGAGTCACCGGTTTTGGGTAAAAATCCACAAGATTTGGCATAGAAACCGTCGGCGACCAAGATTTGGCATAGCATCTCCTTTGACCAAAGAAGAGAACAACGACACCCGCGTTTTCAACTGAAGATTTGTAACGGCCAACAACCTTCGTGCACTTGAAGGCGACGACCAAGATTTGTAGCGGCCAACTTTTGGCAAACAGCAAGCACACTTGCGTCTCCGAACAATCAACCGCTGGCGACCAAGATTTACAGCGGCAACTGGCCAACATAGTGGAAGGATTGCATCGGCCAGCTTGTATTGAAGCTTTCTTGCACCGACAACCACCTCTTGCTCCCAAATCTCTGCGCATTAGTCACTCCCCTTCCCCCTTTTTTTTTTTAATATTGGGTCTTTCTTGCACCGACAACCATCTCTTGCTCTGGCTAGCATGTATTGAGCGGCGGAAACCTCTACAACAGCCATTAAAGCCGAGCTGCCTGGTGGGTCTCTGCCGATAACGGATACTCTGAGGTTGCGACCGAAGAGTTTGGGGCTGGATTTGCTAGCTAAGATATGGAATCTACGGGGATTTGGTTTGGATGAGAGAGATTTAGTTAGGGAGAGGGAATGATAATTCTCTAATGTGGTTTTCCGGAGGCCAATGAAGCTATTAACGGTAGCGCGTCGGAAATGGGTGATTTTCCAGACACAATTGGCGGTGTTGGTGGAAAATAGGGAGTTTATGGCAGTAGTGGACGCCATCCTTGCTGGCCTCTGGTGTGGTATCTGAAGTCTGAACAGAGTAAGTTCAGATTTTTTTTTTTTTTTAAATTTTTCTGTCAGAACGGGCCGACCGTTCGATTCGAACAATCGGACCGTTCAACCCGGTAATCGAACCCATGACCGGTTCGATTTTAAAAACCATGTTAAAAACTTTGGAACTGTTGAATTCTTTTTCTTTTAATGATCCCAGGAGAAATTGGTCTTCTATGCTCTTCCTAAAAGAACAGGTTGCCAATGACTTGGACACCTATCCTAAAGGCTTTGGTAATCCAAGCCCGTCTGGTATAGGTGGGGTCCTCAAAATTGAGGTTGAGATGATCTTGTCTTCTTTTTTCAGGTCCACCAAGAGTTGGAGACTCTTCAAATGCTGAATTACTAGCAGACTGTTGAAAGAATCAGCTCAAGCAAGAGTCCTTGTGATAGAAGGGGACTAGGGGACTCAAAAGTGGTGGAAGGGTAGTTGACAGATCTAGATTTTGTGACGTGGTGCTATAGGAATGAAATAAAGAGAATATGAATAAGCATGCAAGATGGGAAGGGAAGCAAATCTTTGGCTGATTGTTTAGCCAAGCAAGCAAGGGGTTAATAGGGAGTGGTTGTTTTGGGCTCAGTTGTAACTTTCTGTTTGTATTAACCTGTCTTGTTGGGGAGGACATGGTTCGCACCTCTTAGGGATACTGGTATTGCTTTAATCTTTTGAGTAATAAAGTTTTATTCAATGAAAAAAAAAGACCAATTGGCATACTTTGCAATGCTTATTCTACAGCCGGAGGAGCCTTGTATAAATAAGCTTACTTTGAATTACATCACAGTGGAAAAAAGCATATTAAGCACCAATTCATCTTGACAAGGAAATATTTGAGAACAATATCTAAGAGATGCTGCATGTATCTTTTTTGCATTTTAAATTTTCCAAGAGATGGATACCATCAATATTTATTTTTCCTACAGTGCATGGTACATGCTCATACTTGACGTGGGCCTGCACCAAGGTGCTATTTAGAGACGCGGCCTCCAAGGTTGAGAGCTCGAGACGGGTGCACTCTGCAGGTTGACAAACAAGGAAAAGAAAGAAGGTAAAGCGCTAATTTATATACACAATCAAATATCTTACTCGGAAGAAGTTGGACAAAAACTCAAGAAATTTCTTGGGGAACTCCAAACTCTTTCTTTATGTAAGTAAGCTAATAATAAACAAAAAGACCCCGACAATTAAACAATGAATATGAGAGATGAGGCTGTTACCAATGGCATGCCCTTAGCTGCTCTCTCCTCCAAAAACCTACACGGTTTGAAGAAGCCAGAGACGCTACCATATGTTTCAGACCACTTCTTGAGACTCGAATATATATATCCAGAGCCAATTGAATCAGCCCAAAACACGATACCACCACTACAAGAAAGAAGAGAGAACAACCGTGAACCACATAAACCATATTATTTACTGCCTTACTGGCTACAATATATATTTATCTCATAAATAATAGCAGTATCATGATAATTAATTTTCATTGTTTAGGTTATGTATGCAAAGCTGAACACGTCATGATTGATTAGATATGACCAAAAGTATGCTGCTAACCTTGGAGGAGAGGAGAGAGAAATAATGCAACTGTATCCAAATAGAAAAATAAAGCCTCTACTGTTAAGTTAAAGATCCAAATACAGGCTCTCGTGAAGAAGATCAAGTACCTCATTGGTTATTTTGAAAATAAATATGCCAACTTCATGATGGGCATAAAGAGAAAAGGTAACGAAACTGCCATATCAGCTGAAGAGAATTTATTTTGCCTTCAGCATGGCAGGATGGTAACTACTATGCATTGCTAATTTGGAAAATGTTACAATTTGTCCTAAATATAAGCCTCTACCGAAAAGTGAAGATAACAATAAAATTTGTTTCCATGGGGTTTAGTATTCAATACAGCATTTTAGGCTTCAGCCTAGCCCCCATTTGGAAGTGCTTATATTTAAGCACTTATTGAAAAAAAAAAGCCCTTATTTTAGGCTGGAACCACACCACTAAGCACTTACATGCATTTGGGGAATAAGCCACCATTCTGAATAAGCTCCAAATTTTGCCTTTTTTTTTCCAACTGCTTCTTGAAAAAAAGTGCTTATTGTGTTCAAGGGCCATCTTGCCCTGCCACATAATTTTCAAAATACCTATCCTACCCCATTTGAAAGAAACATTTTTTCACTGAACATTCATAAGCACTTATTAGGATAAACACTTATCCTATAAGCATTTATTTATCTAATAAGCACTCCCTAATGGGAGCTTAATAAGTTAAAGTAACAAGAAGGCTAATATAACATGGATGCCATGTTAATAAACTGGAAAAAAAAAAGTCAGCAGTTTTCCATAAAACAAATACATAATAAATAATGGATGTGGCACAAAAATGAAATGGCAAGACAGGACTCATGTAGCCAGCCCTATATAGTTGGGACAAGGCTTAGATGATGATGAAACACATAATAAGTAAAATGACAGGCTCCATTTTAGATTCAACCAAGTAGGGTATAAGATTAAGCTCCAGGAGAACTCACCGATAAGAAGGGAAACTCATTCCAAGAACAGATGCAATGTCTAGATCTGATGCTCGAACAACCACTCTTTCATCCAGAACACGACAAGCCTCATTTACCACTGGAAAGAGAACCATCTCCACAATTTCTTGGTCACTCACAGTTATGGGCTACAAGTCAACCACAACATGTCAGGTACTCTTCAACTGCATCTAAAAGCAAGCAAATGCTCATTTATATCTATCTGTACATAAGTTGGTATTTGACATCAAAGTACATGAACATAAAACTACTAATTAATGCAAACTGATATGTCTATCCATTAACACAGAAAGTCAGCAACCTTTCCACCAGGCATGATGTTGGAAAGCCTTCTAAATTCCTCAATAATTGGTACAACACTAGGATCAGGCTTTGGCTTGCTTCCCTTTTCAAATGTATAATATCCTTTTCCATTATTTTTACCTATAATGTTGAAAGCATTTCATCAGATCAAGACATAAAGCAATGAAAGGCCTGAGTAATAGTGCACAACTTAAGGAGGATTTTATATTAATGTAGAAGGTGAAAATCCCTCAATTACCATTTCGTCCACTTTTCACCAGAAGATCCACAAGTGGAGACTTGAATGCCCGATCTGGGAATGAAGTGGCAAATTCTTTCCCCACTGCCAATGCTACCCCATATCCAGCCAGGTCCTGAAGCCTGTCAGTATAACCACAAGGTGAAACATGTCCTACTCATGCCCATAAAAGGTGCAAAATTGAAATAGACATGATGGTTAATCAATGTTGAAATAAGTCAATGTATTGTAGCTTCCAAGGCCTCCTTAGAAATGCTCTATAGAACATGGATATGTCACATGTGCAAGGATATTTGTAAATCAATGCTTAAATATGAAAAGAATGATGTCAAGGGAATGAAATTACTGAAAAGGACCCATCGGCATGCCAAAACTGCTGATCAATCTGTCAATTCTGAACACGTCCACTCCTAAGCCTGCCAAAATATGTGCTCCTTGTGTGTATGGGAAGAAGGTACGGTTGACTGCAAATCCAGTACAATTTCCCACCACAACAGGAACTTTTTTTATCATCTTCCCAACTGCCATTAAATCAAGGATTACTTGCGCAGAAGTCTTCTCCGTACGAACAATTTCTAGGAGAGGCATCACATGTGCAGGACTGTTCAATATAGAACACATCAAAACCAGGTCACAAGAATAATTCAAGAACAAAGAGTTGCTCAATAAATAATTATAAAAAAACCAACATATCAAGTTTCAGAAACTTCCTAAAAGATCGGCAGATGATGTTATGAAATGCTCTTCCTCTTGTACATGAGAAGCTACCAAGTGTAGTGTGATTCACAAAATTTGCTGATATGCAAGGCAAAATTTCTCATTTAGGGTATTTGATGAAATATCTATTAAAGATCTTGTACCTTGAGGAAACCTGTTTTGGATAGATTCAAAGAAAGTGTCAGTTTTCAAAGCCCTTACAAAAAGTATCAAAAAGATTGGAAAGGATCACGAGGAAGTGCCTGTGGAAAGTGGAGGATTATAAGAAAGATCACCTCATCAGTTTGGAAAATTGTATGAAAGACAATAAGATAAGGTGGCCTTGGGCTGGGAAGATTAATCCTAGGAATCAAGAGTGATACTTCTTTCTCCTTGGAAGGTCATCTTGGTCATTCTTGTTTCCTTCTCCAGATTTATTAGGTATCACCTTTTTTGACAGGATTGGATTTTGAGAAGAAACTTTGGTTTGAGGAAGATTACTCCATTGTTGAAACATCCTAAATCGTTCTCTATTTCTCTTCATAAAAACCATGCAATTTTATTTTGTATTTCAAAACTACTGCTAGTTTTTCTTGGGATTTGGGCTCTATAGAGGTTTGAGAGACCATGAACTTGCTGATGTTTTTAATCATTTTTATTCTTTAGAGGTGTTTTATTGACTCTAAAGAGCTGATAGTTGAATTTGGGCTGTGGATTGAATCCCACAATCACCTCCTAAAGTTAGGGCCTTTTGTTGGGAGTTGATTTACTTGAAGATCAACAATTCTGAGGACTTTCAAAAAGGAATGCCTCTTTAGTGCTTTTTAGTTTTGAACAAATCAAAAAGTTGTGAATCCACTTTCTTTTTACTAATTTCCTTTTGTTTGTGGTTGAAAATTGGGAGCATTTTCTCTTTGTTTTTTTAGGTAGATGCCCTCAAGGAATATAAACAGGCTTTTTGCCCCTCATTTTTCAATCATGAAAGGAAAGGGAACGAGATACTATGGATGTGTAATAAAAGCTGTCCTATGGGCAAGTGGAACGAGATACCATCTTCCCAAGTCAGCACCTGATTCTTGTGCTGGGGAATGCATATTAGTAGCAAGTGGAATAGGTCTTGGTTGTTCTATATTGAGGGTGATGTACCCTCGGTATGTACTTGTATTTCTGCTGCACTTAATTTTGTCAAATGTCAAAATGACAAAGATGTCTAATGATCAATGGTAGGCAACTTATGTTGTTATAATACTTTTCTTAGCATATATATCAACAGGACTTTATCAAGATGAATAAAAAGAAATAGAAGAGATGAAGCAGTGATAGCCAGGGAGCAACCTGCTAAACCCGATATTCAGAAACTATAAACCCAATATGATAGGAGCTATTGACAAAATTTGCAAGAATTGCAACAATCCACTAACATTAAATTTTCTTTTAGTAAAACATCAAGACACTTTTAGCTCTTATTTTTTCAGTTTTGAAAAATTAAAATTTAAAATAAAATTTCTACTATATTTTGTTCTTGATATGTAGAAACTAAAAATAAGTTCTTTTGCTTGCAAAAAAAAAAAATTGATTTTTTAAATGCACGCCATAAAAATTCTGTTGATGCCATACAGGTGTTGAAGCAAGCCTGTCATGTCTATGTATGTTAGTGATGACGAAATCTATCAGGTTTGTATATTTCTTTTTGCTAGTTGATTGCTCCTCAAAGGGTTGGGGGATATCATGATCCCCCAGCTTAATTTATGTTGCTTAATCACCATTTTTTGATAAATGGTACAATTATGTTACCATATCTTAAGAAAATCTCAAACTTGCAATGCTTTATGCATTGTTAATGAAATCAAACATAACCATGTACTCTTCATATACAGGATGTATATCCATATATGTAATGTAAATATATGATTTTCATCATAATGATTTGTCTCTTCATTGGTGACCATGAATATAATCTGTATATGCACAGTTGCACACTAAGAAGAAGAGAGGTATACCTGAAGAAATGTGCCCCCACAATTCGATCTTGAGATCTGGTCTTTTCTCCAATTATATTCAGGTCAATTGTAGATGTGTTTGTTGCCAGAATGCAGTGAGGAGGGCAAGACTTCTCAAGTTCATTAAATATTGATTGTTTAAGTGGAATGTTTTCAATAACAGCCTGCAGAGAGTGCAAAACCGCATCAAAAAACCTCTTCAACGTAATAACAAGAAGTCAACAGAAGCAGCAGCAACAACAATTATAACCAATCCAAGAACAAAGAAGAAAAAAATATCCTTCTGAATAGTTCTAGAAAGAAAACAAAAACTCAAGCATTTCTCATGCTTAATATATAACTTTGAGATCTAATAGTAACAAAAATTAGAGAGAAGTGTTGTGAGATGATGGAAAAAAGTAGGAACGGTGTGTTCTCAGTAAAGTCTGTTTATAAAACCTTGACAAGGAATTAGGAGGAGAAGGCGGGTGTAAGGGGGGTTTGTAAGAATTATTCCTCCTAGGGTGGAGGTTTTGCATGGCTAGTGGCTTTGGACAGAATTCTTACCAAGGATTGTATTGAAAGTAGGGGAACTCAGATGGCAAGAAGATGCTATTTATACATAGCCAAGGAGGAGGCTGTGATTCACTGGCTGCTGCTTTTCAAAGTATATATGGGGATTAGACGTCTTTATGGGCTGAGCTCGGGTTGAGATTTTGCCAATATTTGAATGGGCCTGGCCTGAAGCAGTGAAAAATGTTCATGGGCTGAGCTCGAAGCCCGGCCCATCAACAGGTCTGATGGGGATACTTCTTCAGCCTTTTCAGCCTTGATCTGGGATCTAAGATCTCCAAAAGATATCTTTGCTCATTGGCCTACTTTGAGTGGAAATAGGAAGGCAACAATCGCATGGAGCTGTTTTTCTTTTGCTATTTGTTGGGAATATGGAAGGAGAGAAATAGAATTTTTGAAAACAATCAAAGTGCAGGGATCGATTGTATCTTCCGGTGGAAAAAGAATGTTGGAAAGGATTTTGATTTTACTGGAGTTGGATTTTGGTCATCTTAAGAGTTAAGAGTCTTTGGGCTGATTTTTTTGTATTATGTTTCTTTTTCATGTAATGATCGTTGATTTCTCATCACCCCATGGATGTACCATTTTATTTATCAATGAATTTTCTTTTTTATTTATTACCAAAAAATACTGGAAAATGGTAGCAGGTTTAAGCCCATGAGGCCTTCAGTTTACAACCATATGCACGTATAGTTTCTATTCCTCTCATGGAGAAAAAAAAAACATTGAAGCTGCTAAAATTGCTGACATATTAAGATGAAAGGAATAAATACCACTAAACTGGCAAACAAAATGATTTTTTGGCCAACAATACCAAATACTAGGAAAACCGATAAAAATACCTGTTAATGAAGAGTTGCATCACTGATACAAATATATGGAATAAATCAGCATAAACAAAATATGACAGAACTCATTAATGTCTCATAGAAGCTTGAAAGCAGCTTATTTATTTATCAAAAGACAGACAAAAATGCGATAACCCACCTCTATGACCATATCGACGTTTTTAAATTCTGAATAGTCCAATACACCTTTAAGAATTGAAAAGGCCTTCTCTGCTTTATCCTGTGTCAATTTTCCTCTTGTAACTAGGCTTCGAAGATTTGCTGGAACATATTGTATGGCCATAAGTGTCTTAAAGGAAAATACTCAAACACAGATACAAGTAACTTCATCAAAAAGAGAAGTTTAACTACATGCACCAAACAAACAATTCCAGATGTCTTTTCTAACATGTGAAAGCTTTTACTTATGGAGGGAACTCTCAGAAAGAGGCATCTGTTTTCAAACCTTCTATTGATTTCATCCCCTTTTGCAGATATTCAGAATTAATTTCCTTAAGTATAACAGATATGTTGCTAAGGAGAAGAGCTGTTGCTATGCCAGAACCCATCAGACCCCCACCAATTACAGCAACTTTTTTTATGCTCGTTAGCTTAAGCCCAAGATCAGTAACATTAGGTACCTGCAACAAGTACATTTGAGGAAATTCATTCAGAAAGAAGGCATAGCAACTAGGTTATTGAGTCTATGAAGCAGAAAATTGGTTCTTATTCACAACTCAGTTTGAAATAGAATCTACATGGATACAGTACATAACAGTCCAATTGCTGCAGAAACCAGGTGCCATTCCACTCCAATATAAAGGCATGCAACCATTGATAACTAAAATTAAATCAAAACTGTAATAGTAGAATGTACAGTACAGGAAAAAGTAAGGGACCGCATTAGTTTGACATAAAACCATATACAAGTATGCAACATTGACACTTCAACAAACAACCTTGGATATATTGCCCAAGAAAATCATCAATAGATATAATAAACACAAACTTTAGTTTGCCACTATTTGTGTTAGGTTCCCCCACTCTCCTCCTAGCCGGGTCGAGCCAGTCAGTGAACCTACAACGGCTGGGCCTAATGCTGAACCCAGAATGAGGCCTCCCATTGAAAAGGTGTACATCCGCAAGCCATGACAACCCAACAGTCAAAATTAGCTATGCGGAGCAGAGACAGTTTTTACTTTTGGAATATTCTGGTTGTTATTCTGACAGTCTGTTAGGATATGTGTCAGCTCTCTCTATATGTTTCTAGGAATTACTGATGGAAGGATATAGAATTACCCTTGCAATCTCTCTCTTTCTCTCTTCTTCATTCTTAGGAGGATTGAGCTTCCCTCAAAGAGAGCTCCTGTTTTGGGCAGTAACCCAACAATTTGTCATATAAAGCCCTATACACGTATATATTTTGATGATAGAATTAAAAGAAGAAGAAGAAGAAGAAGAGAGAGAGAGTCAAGCTGACACCCCAAGTCACAAGTATGAAAACAACATAAAAAAAGAAACAAATAAATAATATTAAAAGGATCAATCCATCATCAAAGACAATATCCAAAATAGACCATAAGCTTAATGATTCGTCAATGTCTTCAAACTCCAGATTTATAAAAAGAATATGTCTTCAAACTCCAGATGCACCAAAAGCTTATCAAGATAAGAGAATTGATATCTGAACATATCCTTCTGTTATTACTCTTCTTGCTTTCAAACCTACACATGAATATTTTGTCATAGTTTTATCTCATTAACCACATGAAGTCCTTGTATACAGGGCTTGGACCCTCCCTTTTTTTTTTGAATTACCATACTCAATTCAATTATCTTCAGCTATCAAAAAAAACAACTTAGCAATACAATCTAGAGATGTTCATTATTTGCTGTGTATCCAAGTGCTAGCATATAACACCATGTGAGGATTTAGTTTAGTCAAAGCACTCAGCATTGCCTAACCAACTGTTTTGCCTGGTCAAGATCCTAGCTCCATCAAGTCCATGGCATGCTCAGCTAGATTTGGTTGTCTGCTGATGCCTAGGCGTCACTCAGCACCTGGTCATTACTGAGATCCATTTACATTACAATTTTAAAAATGTTCCCAACTCTTAATTTAATATTTAAAATGAAGATTGCTATTAATTTAGAGGGAGAACTTAACTAAAGGAATTATGCTTGGGGGAGCTTTGAGGGGTTTCCAAGTGGGGAATGGTGTTGAAAACGTTGCTTTGCTACAATTTGCAGATGATACACCACTCTTTTATGAAGCTTATATGGAGAGTCTAGAGACTTTGAAATATATCCTATGGTGGTTTGAGGTTGTATCAGGGCTGAAATTGAATCTACAAAAGAGTGAATTGTTTGCTATAGAGCAGGGGCAGGAAATGAAGGTCTTGGCTGAAACTTTAGGCTGTGGTGTGGGCTGGCTTCCTGGGGCTCCTGCTTGGAGACAAGGCAAGCAGCACTTTGAGATCCAATGATTGAAAGGTTTGACAGGAAATTAACAAAAAAAGAAGACTTGGATGGCTGACACAGAATATGGAAGTGAGGCTTCAATGGATAAAACAAAGTGCCAACTCAGGGTAGGAAGGGGTTCCATGTTTTGGGCTCTGTTGTAAGTTTTTTTTTTTCTTTTTTTTTTTTTTTGTGGGGAGGGCTAAGAGAGCTTATCCCTGCCCTTATCTTGTTTTTTGTTGTCTTCTTTCCTTTTAATCATCTAATGAATTGGTTCGGTTCAGTTATTGATCCAAAAAAAAAGAAAAAGATTTGACAGGAAATTAGCCTGGTGGAAAGTGAGGTATTTATCCATGGGAAGAAGTAGTACTCTTTTCTTTTTTGATAAGTGGTTAAGTGGTACTCATCAAAAGTGTTATTGCAGCACTGCTTACTTACCACCAACCTTTTTCTCCAATCCCTTCAGGTGTGGCCAGGCAGTTGGAGAAGAAAATGAGGGAAATCTTTGGAGGTGGAAGGATGAGTTCAGGTTCCATCTAGTTGATAGGAAAAGGTCTGCAGACCAATGAAGGCTGGAGAGCTTGAGATTATACATTTGAAAAAGTTCAACAATAGGAAAGAGTGGTGTTTGAGATTTAATGAGGATCCAGGCAGCTTATGAAGAAGAGTGATAGAAGCCAAATTTTGCGTGAGGGAGATGAGGTGGGAAGCTGGAAGCAACATCAATTCTTATGGCACCTTGTTTTGGAAAGGAATTAAAAAGGTATATTCTGAATTTTGTCAAGGAATAAGATATCAGGTTGGAGAAGGTAAAAGAGTCAAATTTTGGGTGGACAGAAAGCTCTGATGGAAGCGTACCCGCCCTTGTTCATTATTGCACAGAATAGGGAGGCTCTGGTCAAGGGCTGCTACATGATCTCCATTGGAGATCATGTTTGGAATCCAGCCCTTAGGAGTAATTTGAGTGATTGAGAGGCGGTGGAAATGATTCAAAGATTGCAACAGCATTCTCCTCAGTGGGGGCAACCAGATAGCAAACATTGGAGATGGGATAAAATTGGGGTGTTTTCTGTCATGTCCTATAAAAGGTCGAATCCTTGTGTTGTCTGTGATTTCCCAGCCAGAAGAATTTGGCCTTCTGCCACTCCATCAAAAATTAAGTTTTTTACATGGACTGCTGCACTGGAGAAATGCTTGACCTGTGACAAGTTGCAAAGAAGGGATATGCCTTTGGCTCAAGTGGGGTGTGTTCTGTGCTCTACAGAACTGGAGTCTGCTAACCATTTATTTCTGCATTGCCCTTTCACATCTAGGGTATTAGGTATAGTTTTGGAACTTTCAGATGGGCTGGCTGTTTTTCCCAATCGATCCTATCCTTCCTGCACAGATCGCAGTTATGGGGCTTTAAGCAAAAAGGAGAGAGTGGTAAGGGGGTTATTTCCGATGAATATTTTTGGAGTGTGTGGGAGGATAGAAATGCTTGGATATTTGAAAATAAATACTGAGGATCAAATAGTTATGGGTAAAATTAAAGGAAAGATTTGCTCCTGGTTGTCAGTATGTAAGGAATCCAGGAGCATAGAATACAACAAATTTTCTGATAGGGACATATTGTTTTCTTGCCAATTGCTTGATAACAGAAATTCTGTATAGTCAGAAGTCCTATAGCAGTGTGGATGTACATGGCACTGGATTGAAATCGCTTTTTGTTTATAATACAATAAATTACCTAAAAAACATAACTAAAGGGGATTAGGACTTATACCCCAGGGCTTGCCTCTCTCTACTGCTAGAGAAGGTAGGTACTAGAGAGCAACCAATTGCCCAAGTGTTGTTGGGACACTTCAAATACACTACATGGGGTAGCTATGTATGACACATTCAGATTGTCTCACATAGCCATACCTAATACCTACGCAAAAAAAGAGAAGATTAAATTCAGTCAATTCCTTCATATAATATAGGCCAGACAGAGTATCAGGTCCATGCTACTACATTAAATTCTCTAGTAGCATAAAATGGATTGTCTATTGTTTTCTTTTCAAACCTTTGTTCTTTTTTTGATCTTTGATGGATAAAGATATGTTTTATTACCTTCCGTTCTTGGCCTAATTTCAACGACATCATAAAACCAATGCATCACAATATGCAGTGACACAGGCTAAATCTAGAAACGATCAATGCTGACAATGAAAAAAAAGGAATAATTTCACATAATTAAACATCCCATGAATCACACAAACAGGAAGTAAAGAGAAGAAAGGCAAGATGTGATAATGGAACGATGGAATGTAGATACATGCCCATCATATGATTCGTATCAAGAGGTACCTTGGACGTAGCACGTTGAGCAAAGAAGACATGAACAAGACCTTTTGACGTGCTTGATAACACTAACTCCTTAAAGACTTTTGCCTCCTGCAATGAGCAATCCCAAATTAGCATTTTTTAATAAGGATTTGAAGTAAGATTACCACAAATAGGGAATCGCATAAATCACATTTCACATATCATCAGGTGAAACTTAAGTGTACTTTCCCCCTCATATTTGTAAAGCAATAAAACTCCAGATAAATATATAGCAACATTAGACAGATAAAAATGAAAGCACGCATATCTCCTTATGAAAGCAGACAAACTGGAGATAAATTAAAATTATAAAACCCCCCAGAAGCATATATACCTTCAAAACACCAGAATATCCTCCAAAAACAACGCCTTCCTCGATCACATCAAGACATGCCTGATGCTGAGGCATATTTGGAGCAGTCTGTCTTGCTCGTTTTCTAGCAGATTTCAATATCTCACGTGCTTCAGAAAGGGAACAAAGTTTGTCAGTCCTGTGAAGTGAATTCATCCAAGGTCTACGCCTTTCAGCAATGTCCAAAGCCCAGAGTCGAGATACTTTCAGCAAATCTTTAGGGGATACAATAGCATCAACAAGACCTAACTTCTTCCCTTCTTCAGACATTATTGGCTTCGATAACTGCAAAAAGGTACTAGTATGATACAATCATGACCGTAGAAAAGCCTTATTTAAAACATAATTGAATAGACAGAAATTAAAATAATGTAGATCAAGATGGAAGCTGAATCCATGTGATGGTTTCAACCTCCATTCAGTTTGGTCTGAAGTTAGATAGAAGATTTAGTAGGTTTTACATTGTCTGCCTATTTGGTTCTGCTAAAATATTCCAATCCTGGTATCACTAGTTCACTACATGTATTTTAATACCATACTTTTCAAGGCGTCTAAGTGATTTTGGGCGACACTGGGGCGCCTAGGCAATAAAAATTTTATAATATGAAAAACTGACTTTTTGGCTAGTTTCCTAGTTTTATATACCATTCAGCATGTATGTTAATTGAAAAATAGCAATTCTCTTTATTAAGAACATTAAATCTCCTCTAAAAATGTGGCAAATCATCACATCTAAAAGATAAAAATCTTTTACATATATTAATTTCATTATTTTCAAAAATAATACTACTATAATAAGTATTTAATAGAGCAAGTTCATATTAATTAGCAGCTAAAGAAGGTTATTAACTTTATATGATAAATATTCAAGATGGAAAGTAAAATAGAAAAAAAAACAAGGATGGAGTTTCTGTTTTATTTAATTAGAGAGAGAATAGAAAAAAAAGAACTTTATTATTTTATTGTTTCTTTCCCCTTTCTTTTCTTTTATTTCTTTCTTTTTCTCTTCTCAAAACCCTTTGATCTTTTAAATTCCAATAGTAAAACATTAAAACAAAATATAATTGATATATAGCATATAATAAAATGTATTAACACATACATTAATAAGATACAGCAATATAAATGATATTATAAAAGGTGTCTGCCTTGTCATTTTTGTCGCCTAGGCGAGCGCTTAGTTGCTAAAAGTCAAGGCGTTTGGGCGAGGCGCCTAGGCGACACCTTGACAACTATGTTTAATACTAGTAATTTCATAATATAAAATAAATATTTTTTAATCCTTCAGCTTTCTCACCAGGTTGAATAAAATAGAAACTTACCAGCATCATTTCAACAGCCTTTGGTAACCCAACAAGCCTTGGAAGACGTTGAGTGCCTTAAAAGTAACACATAAGTTGATTTAGTTGTGTCAAATGTCAGACAAAAAATAAAAAGGGAAAATCTATTATGCCGGAAAGGCATGGTACCAGAAGAGCTTTGACCAATCAAAGCCCGCCTATGAATTTTGATAAATACTATCTGACTGGTTAACATGTTTATGATACCAGTTGATTGGTCACAAGTTTTTCGGATATGATGTCTTTCCGGTATCATGGTCGAACCCAAATAAAAATGATCCTCAACCACGAATTCCACATGTCAAAGAAAGCTTAGGTACCTCCAAACCCAGGAATAACTCCAAGTGACAACTCTGGCAAGCCAAGTTGAGTTTTTGGTGTGGCAATACGTGCATGGCATCCCTATGTAAGGTTAATCAAAGGGAATCAATTGAAAATCTTGACAATAACATATCTATGGCTGTTTAGCAGATTATACAAACCATTGCCAATTCTAGGCCACCGCCAAGTGCAAGTCCTTGAACAGCAGCAACAGAAGGCTTTTTTGCATCTGATATCAGCATGATGACATAAAAAACATAACCATACAAAAGAACAGAAACTTTTATAAGCACTAAAATCATTACAAACACTTGAGGCAGCATTTGGATCAGAGATTTCTGGATTCCACCTTCTGGGTTCATTGTAATAGCAGTTTCGGATTTGGAAACCAGTGGAACTTAAGCCTTAAATTCTGCAATTTTGGCATATTTGAAACTCCCTGGAGAGGGGGATTGAAGTTCCACAGAATTGAGGTGTAAGTAGAATTAAATTCCAACTCCACTCCCTTGATCCACACACAGCCTAAAGTTATAGTCTATTAATGTTAAGACACCATTAAGGACCCAAATATTCAGTCAAGTACCTTCCATTATGTTAACCACAAGTTCAACTGATACATCTGGTAATAGTGAAATATCCCCTGCCAGACCAAACAACTCATTGACAAATTTCTAATAGCCAATTCATGATAAAAAAAATAAATAAATAAATAAAACCACAGTCAATTACAAATTTACAACGATAGAGGTTTATGAGTTTATACCATTCTTGTGGATGGTCTGAAAAACATTGATATCAAAACCACCAGAAAATTTTCCACCCTCACCTGTAAAGGAAGAAATAAAGGAAAAACACAGTTAGAGACAACTGTAGTGCACACAATGTAAATGCTTGAGAAGAATAAATGTATTGTTGAAGGTATTGATGAATATGATTATATGAAGTCTTTGGAAGTAATGGTTGGGTATATAAAATCAAACTAGCAAGATGAGTGAAATATATGAAATTGATACAGATGTACCACATATGAGAAAGGTAAAAAGAAAATGATGTTACATCAGGTGAGATATTGATTTTCATTTTGATAACTTCATCAGTGGGAAAGAGATATTGCTTAATATCTACATAATATTATTGATATAGAATGTTAAACCATATTTTGATGCACCACAGCAGGTCCATGGGGATGGTACGCAGCAGATATTGATTCATAAAAGATGTTGTGGTCATGCAGAGTACTGTGCTTAACCTCGTCAAGGCTTGGTGAATTTCTGGTATAGAAAGTTGGCAAGTTCGTGACTATCACTTTCAAAAAATAAAAATAAAAATAAAATAAAAGGAAAAAACCCCTTATTCTGTATAGACATGGAAAACCTAAAGGTAGTTAAGGTTAAGGTCGCCTCGGAGGTCAACCGCCTAGAGAAAAAGATAATCTTTCAGAGCATGCCCTGTTTCACCAACAACCTACAACATCATTACAGTTAGCAAAAAAAAATATCATTACAGATATGTACCAATTAGCTGATTTTGTTGTAAATTCAAAACCGGTAGCAAATAAGAAAAAGAAAAAATAAAAGATGATCGCCCGGAAGAAGTTTCATTTCTTAATGATTCCGATCAACAAGACAATTTGATATTTTGATTGAGTTTCCTGGATGGGCTCATCGTTCAATTAGATGGATGAGACAGCTTCCTTTATGAGCCCCAATGTATGGTTAAGATTTCACGCACTCGAAGTTCCGATTAATGGAAGTAATTCCCATAGCTCTCATACCCTTGACCTCAACATAAACCTTGAAGGCTTGAACTATAGTGGATCTACTACAACTATCCGCCATTACAACGAACTTGAAATTGCCATGATTCTTATGTAGGCTAAATTGCCATGTATCAGAACAAGAAAACACAAAGCAAAACAATAATAGCATATGGCAGCAGAAGCTGAACCTTACCCGTCAGCACAATAGCTTTAACATCATTTCTTCTCATCGCTTCTGTGTACTTCTCCTTCAACGCTGCGATAACTGCATTCAGAGAAAGAAGATCAGATTCTTCATCCTTTTAGCAAATCAGACCATAACAAGAAATGAAATTATCAAAATTCAACTGCAAGCGAAACCAAAAATATTTCCGGTGAATTGAAGATAACTAGATAAACAAACAGATCAATCAAAACCACAGTCCTGATCATAGAAATCGAGAATATATAAATATATATATATATATGTATATATATGTGCCAAGAAAAACATGGGAATTATAGGCTTATAGCTCACTTGAAGGGGCTAGTGCGTTCACGGGAGGATTACGCATCGTGATAATTGCGACTCCATCGCTCCCGACTTCGATCGTGACTCCGACCTTCGCCATAGCCAACGGTTTGCAGAACAATAGCTAGGGTTTTTGAGGTAAGCTCGATCAAGAGAAGAAGAGACGAAGAGAAGCAAACACTAGTCGCCTAGTCGGGTATGAAGTGAAACTGAGGAATTGCGTCTCCTCGGAATTTATCTGATCAATGATTTATATTGCGGGAAAACGCTGGCAAGTTGCAATTGGCTAGTGTGCCACGTAATCCGTGATGTAACATAAGCTCAGATTATGACGTCGCTGGATACTCCCTAGAAACTAGATGGAATATAGACGATTGAAACAGGATATTATCAAAAGTTCCGATTAAATCCAACGGCTTGAAGCATTGTAGTCATTTAACTATTCTACTATGAGCACTAGGTGATACATTGGGGGGCAAAAGTTAATTATTTTAATATAAAAAAGATAAAAAGATATTTATTTATTTTTCACGTTGGGGTGATTTGGTGGTGCAAAGACAAAGAAGCCACTGTTGTTGGTATTTGGTAATGGTGGAGTACTGGAGTTCGATCAGCACCATAAGCGGAGACTGTTATAATCGGTGAAAACCGTTGGATCGGGATCTTTTATGGGATATATGTATTGAGGGATCCACATCTAGTAATGCAGTTATTGTGGATTGAAATCGGTGATTTTCCTAATGGAAACAGCCAAACAGGAGATTTCTAATAAAAAAGCAGAAATGGGTTGGGCGTATAATAGTTGCTGACTAGGTGTGAAAGTGAAGGTCCAAATTCCCGGTCCCGGTTCAAAAGGTTCCATTAATCCAAAGTTCCCATCTTTGTAAGGAACCGTGTTTTTTGTTTTTTCTCGGTTCTGTTTGTCTGCAATTCGAGTTTTCTAACGGGATTCGAGACGTGTCATTTCAGACAATTTTATGGATTATAAGTTTACAATTACATTTTTTTTGTAAGTACTCTGCAACCCAATACAGACAATTCTGAATGAGAGCCCCTCATAGTCTATTACTAGCCTCCTATAAACCGTATTCTGTCCATGAATTTGGCATCAATTTCATCCCCTGTACGGTGAGACTACAAAATTCTGATCAATCATTCTTTCTTTTATTTTACTCCTTACGTTCAGTTTGGAAAAAGTACAAATGCAAATATATACAGTGTAAATACATACAAAATAATATAAAACATAAGATTTTGCACTCTACATATTTGCATTTTATACTCCTTCCAAACCGTGCCTTAGGTTCAATTTGAAAGGAGTACAAATGTAAATATAATATAAATACATACAAAATAATACAAAATACAAGGTTGTGCGCTCTAAATATAAATATTTGTACTCCTTCCAATCTGACCTTTTAGGCTCAGTTCGGAAGGAGTACGAATACAAATATGTACAGTGCAAATACATACAAAATAGTACAAAACAAATGGTTTTGCACTCTACATATTTGTATTTGTACTCCTTCCAAATTGAGCTTGGAGTACAAATGCAAATATGTACATTACAAATACATACTTGATTTAGTTGTCATGTGTGCAATGCAAACAAATGCATCAAAATACAAATGATTTAGAATGAAATTTCTCATTTATTTTTTAGGGTAAAATACAAAACCTCCCCTTAAGTTTTTGACAATAATAAAAACCTCCACTATAACTTCATTTTAACAAATATCTCCCCTGAAATTTTGAGAAACTTGACAAAAACCTCCCTTCCATCATCTTTCCAGATGGAAAATGTTAGATTAATGCACCATCATTTTCCAAATACCAATTCTACCCTTTTATAAATTATTTTACATACAAAATTACTAAAATAACCATATTTTAACTTGACAAAAACCTCCTTCATTGGTCATCTTTTAACGTTTTTGTTGAGTTAAAATAGGATTATTTTAGTAATTTTGTATGTAAAATAATTTATAAAAAGGTATAATGGGTATTTGGAAAAAAACTAGTGCATCAATCTAATGTTTTCCGTCTGAAAAGGTGATAGAAGGGAGGTTTTTGTCAAGTTTCTTAAAAGTTCAAGGGAGGTTTTTGTTAAAATGAAACTATAGGGGAGGTTTTTATGATTGTCAAAAACTTCAGGGGAGGTTTTCGTATTTTATCATATTCTTTATGAAGGGTGTTGGCCCTTCAATGACATCACGGCACGTGGCACGACAGGACCGCTGCATGATACCTCAATGCCACACAAACAACTACGGATCTCACTAAGTCAAGGAAGCACACCTCGAAACCAATCCGAACACCTCGTATACAACTCAGGCACCTTGAGAGAGTGGCTAGTAGCACCTCGTCAGTACCGGTCCAAGGGACCTCAACTTGAGGAGCAACCTCCTCTGAAGGACTTACCGATCTGACTAAGGTCTAGGTGGCGACCTATGAAACATGCTTTCCGACCTCCTCTGTGTGTGTCTTATCATGCTCGGGTCCTCTGGAAATCAGCTCCCACACCAATTGTTCCGCAGGCAACTAGATAAGGCACGGAATCCTAGTCCACGTGCGAAACTACCTCCGAGGACTTCGGATCGGTAAGTCACATCCTCCTGGGGATCTTAGATGCGGTGCGTAAAGTTCATGCCAATCGACACTTATATAAAGGCGCCCCTATTTTCTAAGAAAGGTACGTGTAGTTTAGCATTCACAGCTCTCTAGCTCTTTCACTTTTTAGCTCTCTCAAAACTCTTCGTTGACTTAAGCATCAAAGTGCCCACCATAAGTAAAGCAACCCGAACACTCTGATCTCTTTCCTTGCAACTCAGCTAGGTGACCTACTCAGTTCAGTGTCTGAGTTGTCTGCCAGCAGGGAGCACCAAATCGCACATCATTAATTGGCGCCATTCGTGGGGATCACGCTACACAAAAGCTAAGCTCACTCGTTCTCTAAGCCTCAAGTAATGGCATCCTCAAGCAACAACAGCAACGCCTAGATTGAAGGAACCCCCGTAGGGGGCAGAATCAGAATGATCAGCCCGGGCAAGTTTCAATGGTCTCGCTCAGATGAGCCTCATCAACCCTGATCACGAGGTCGACTCTACAAATCGAGCCCTTCACGGCTTACATGGGAGTCAGCAGCCAACAGACTATGGAGTCGCCCTCGTGGGTCAAGCCCTTCAAGGCTCTTGTGTGAGTCAACAACCTACAAATAGTGGAGCTGCCCCCACAGGTTGAGCCCCCTATGGCTCTCATAGGAGTAGACGCCCAACGTCTCCAAGAGCTAATGTAGTGCAACCACGCCACCGACCTGCAAACGTAGCAATATGATAACCCACCAGCTCATAGTGTGATTAGCACGATCACTAGAGAGTTGGAGGTAGCAGGTTCTGTCACCCCCACTAGTCGAGCCTTAGTTTGCGGGCTGGACTTTGAGGGGGAAAACCCACCAAAGCGACGAAGAGTAGAAGAGGTGATCTACTTCAAGATCGTGATAATGACACCCTCGTAGTCAAGATCGTGATTTGATCCACAATTACAAGGTAAAAAGGGTACTCCTTGATTCTGGAAGCTCAGCAAACATCCAGTTCCTTGGAGCTTTCAAGCAAATGGGACTAGAGATAGAAGATATGGCCTGAGTCGATGTGCCCCTAGTCGATTTCAACGATGGGGCAACATGAGCTCTTGGTCGGATCAACCTATCTATGACAGTAGGAACCACGCCGAACAGGACGAGATGCAGCATGACTTTCTGGTGTCGGCAACGATGTCACCATAAAACGCCATTCTAGGCTGACCAATTTTGTACGCCCTCATAGCGGTGTTATCGACATATCACCTCGTGATGAAGTTCCCCACCAACCACGGAATAGGAGTAGTGTACTATGACCAACTTAAATCACAAAAGTGCTATGTTGCAACACTGAAGGGCAACATAAAGCAGATTGTCGACATCGACTTGGAGCCACCCCCGGAGAATAGTGAGGAAAGAGCCCGCTCGATAGAAAACACTGTCTTGGTGCCAATCTCAGATACCGACCCCTTGAAGACAATGCCGATTAGCACACGCCTCAAGGAACCACTACGCTCCGAACTAGTAAGCATTTTAATTAATAATCTAGATGTTTTTGCCTAGTTAGTTGCCAATATGCCTAGCATAGAACTCTCTATAATAACCCATATACTGAATGTAAAACCCCTATGTCAGGCTGGTAAAACAGAGAAAAAGTAACTTTGCCTCGGAGAGGTGGAGAATAACAAACAAGGAGGTCAAGAAGCTCTTCGCGGCGGACTTCGTGAGGGAGGTCAAATATCCGAGCTGGATTGTCAACCTAGTTCTCGTGAAGAAGGCCAACGGGAAGTGGCGCATGTGCGTCAACTATACCGACCTCAACAGAGCATGCCCAAAGGATAGCTTCCCACTTCCTAGGATGATTGGCGACAAAGTCGAGGTGTATGTAGATGGCGTGGTCGCAAAGAGCAAAACTCATGAAACTCTAATTGCCGACCTGACCGATGTCTTCTATGTACTTAGAAATTTTAATCTAAACCTTAATCCGAATAAGCACTTCTTCGGTGTCACGTCAAGAAAGTTCCTCGGGTACATAGTAAACCGGCGAGGTATTGAGTCCAATCCAAACAAAATCCAGGCCATCCAAGATATGCAACCTTCTAGAACAATAAAAGAAGTATAAAGGTTAACTGGTCGGATAGCCGCCCTGAACCAGATTATGTCTAAGTTGGTTGGGTGATGCCTTCTGTTCTTTAAAGCCATCAAGAAGAACCAGAGTTTGAATGGACCGAAGATTGTCGGCTCACGTTTGACAAGCTGAAAAGGTACCTAAGTTTGTCACCCTTGCTAACCAGGATGGAACCTAGAGATGAGCTAAAACTCGACCTCTTCGCAAGTGACAAGGTAGTCAGCACAGTCCTAATTTGCGAGGTGGACAGAGTGCAGTGACCTGTTTACTATGTAAGTAAAGTCTTGCATGCCGCTAAGACTAGATATCCCAACATAGAAAAGTTGGTCTTTTGCTTTGGTGTTGGCAGCCCGGAAGTTGCGCCCTTACTTTCAGGCTCATATTGTGGTAGTCTTAACCGATTAACCTCTGAGGAAAGTTCTTTAGAAGCTCCAGTTCTCGGAAAGGCTGACGAAATGAGTAATCGATCTCAGTGAGTAAGACATCCAGTTTGAACTATGCCTAGCGATAAAGGCACA